CCTTTAGGTAAAAGACAAAAGGAATTATAATGCATTTGGATATAAACGGTGCATAAGTGGTATGAAAGGATGTCATATCGATTTAAATTGCACAACAATGCATAATTGGTATGAATGGATGTCATAAAGGAAAAATGTAAACAATACATAATGGGTACGAAAGGATGCCCAAATGAGAATACAAAATGGTGTATTAACAGTAGTTAAGGTATTGTCCATAATGATTATATAAGATACATGATTAATTAGCACTTGGGTGCAATACAGGTATAGTACGTTATAATTTAACGTACACCGTGCAAGTAAAGAATAATTGTGGAAAAATATATAGAATGATAGATAGGCTAGGTCTACTAAGAATAATTTAGATGATTTATTGAAAGAATTTTGGTGTAACTGAGAAGGGCTTATAGGGTCCTTATGGATTTTTCAATTGAAATCGTCATTCAGTATTCATTAGATATTTATGTATAAGTTTGATATCTTTGTGTTATGATGACTCACTATGTAAATAATTAACGTGTATTGATTTAACGTGTAGGTAAAGGCAAAGATTAATTGCGTAAGGAGTGCAGCGGTAGCATCAACGATCATCAATTAAGGTTGACCCGTCAATAACGTTAGGACAATCTTATTCCTTTTAAAACTTAGTTGGCATGTAATGGAACTAAATTAAATATTTTGTAATGTATTTAAATTGATAATTTTAGTATTTTACTTATATGAACATCTTACTTTGAAGTTGTTTAACAGTTTTTCAAATAACCAAATATTTTAAAAGTGATGTGACATTCATATCTCGTGTACGCAAGGGTATACGGGAGATGGGTGTTACAACCTATTAGTGAACCAACAATATGATTTTTTTTTAATTGATGGAACTTGCCACCTCTAAGTGACGAGTTACAACGGTCATTTTCATAAAAGTTTTATTATAAATAGGCGTGGGGTGAGTTGATAGAGTGTATGTGAGATTGAAATCATGCATTTGTGTAAAAAGTATTACAAAAAAAATTTGAATGGTATATTTGTGTCTGATTACTCAAACATTGATGATTAGAATCAAAACTCATCTTCAGATGAGGAGTGGGTAAATGAGGCTATGAAGTCGGTACATGATCAGTATAAGGAGAGAATGAAACTTAAATAAGAGAATAAGGAGATGAAAATCAAAGAGGAGGAGGAGGAGGAGAAGAAGAAGTATGACGATTTACCGATCCGACGTAGCAAATTACTTATAAAGAATAATGAAAAAAATAGTTGAGTAAAAATTAAGATGAATGATACAAAAAGTTGTTTTGTATGTTGAAGAAATGTTTTAAATGTATGTAAGAATTTTTGTTTAGTTAAAAGTTATTTATAAGTAGTTTGTAATTATGTATGAAAAATTAAAAATCTAGATGGATAATGATGTTCATAAATTATCCAAAAAAAAGTACAACAAAACAACATGAGAACAGAATTATGAAGGTTTTATTGGCCCGCTTGATATTTAGGAAGATGTGGACAATGCTTCTTGTTGTGTCTTTCACCTATACAGTAGCCACAAATCTTTGGCAGACCTTGGTTTCGTTGGAGATCATCCATATCAGTATGAATTCGAGTTGATTCAGGTCAACCCTTCAACTTCCCTTGTAAGTGTGGATTTGACAACCATTCTTCAAAAATTGTTGGGGCCAATAAGCATCATTTGAAAGATACTTAAACTCACAATTGTAATCATCAACATACGAGTATGGGTCAACATTAACTTGAATACATCGAGCAACAACGTGAGCGTATGAGTATCTTAAAGCTTGAAATCGTTCACAATCACACCATCTTCTCTTTATATTACCTATATATATGGTAGAATTACCACCCTCATGTGGTCGAACAAGTTCTTGGACAATGTAATCATAATTAAGTCTGGCGAAATTATGGACAAACATTGATGTTGCATGTGTTTGATTTTTTTCATTGCCTTCTCCAAATATGGAGCCCAATTTCTGCCATTGTTGATAATTGTCTATCTTTGTGCACTTTTTTCTGCCCAAACTTTACCCTATTAGAAGTAAGTCTCCCTAACAATACTTGCAACTAGAAGATGCATAGTCCCTTAAAAACTTGAATTTATACATTCAGTAAGATTGGTTTTCATATGGTCGTAACGTCGACCCTGATCATCGTATGCCTATGGCCATCTTTCTCGGGTATTTCAGCTACAAAGTTGTAAACATTTTCTCCGTATTTCCTCAAATTTTCCAGTATTGCACGGAAGTTCAGCTGTAGTAAAGCATATCTTAAAAAATTGGATTTCAAAATTATAATAATTGAAAAACATAAATGAAACAAAAGTCATGAATGAAAAAAAAAAGAATAAGTTACAAATGTTGATAATCTTTTTTTTAATTTTTTGCTCTTAAACCTCATCATAGCATTGGAAACAATATAACATATGCAATACGATGAGTATGCGTGGGGAGGCGACCACCTACTTTTAAGTTTATAAATCATGGCCAACAACTCAGGTGAACGATCTGATAACATACAAACCTCATCTTGAGTCGCATCATGGGAGCACAAATTGGAAAATATTTTTGTCACCATCTTGTGCAACAACTATCATCAGGACGTGTATGTATACACCATACAAAAAAAGTCTCATCCACTTGAACCATTTGTTTACAAAAGAGAAAACCTTCAATGGATGACTTGAAAGCCCAAAACAAGCCTCTAAAAACTCTCTTCCTTGGAATAAGTTCTCCATCAAACGTCCTCCCAGGATAATATAAGATCGTATAATGGTTCCAGGGATAAAAATTCCATTGCATGCAACAGATGTGGAAGCTCATTATACGACTGATCTCAATCACCATACAAGAGTATCATCTCCTTCATTTTTTCCATCCATGACTTGTAGTAAGACGAGATATAACCAAACATATTCTGGATAGATGCAACTATCATTAAAACTGAGATTCTTGAATTTTTCTCCACCAAAAGCTTCACGTATGAGTATATGACATTAGAATCTAAGTGTTTGTGGTCTTGAGTCAATGAGCTCAATATACAACTGTGTTGGCCATGAAACCTTATGACCTCTAACATCTTATGTTGTAAGTATAAAACTCATATCCTCCACTTACAACTGACATTATGGTTTATACAACTAATAAAATATATCTTCTGATCAGACTCCACTAAATAGAATTCTATATGAGCATACACAACTCCTTCACTGTTAGTTGGGCATCTTGCTTAGTTTCAAACTGAGATCCAACTGTCAACTCTGTTGATCCGTCGTCGGATGTACTCCAATGTGTTGCACATGTAGCAGACATATCATGAATCTCAAGATTCCTCATGGCATCGTAGTTTATATTATGCATTGCAACTGGATGATGATAATGAGGCATTTTGGGTTAAAGTATTTGGGGCTGAGGGGGTGTTGTTGAATGATCCCAACCCCTTGGAGTATTCTGCAATACATGACCCTGTGGAACCGCTACCTCCCAGACATCACCCTCAACATCGAAACCTTGTCCCTCTAAATCAGCCTCAGCGATATCAGAATCATCAATTATTGGCGTGTTATCACATATTATCATTGGAAAAAAAGTTTCACCGTCTACTATCATATTATTTTTTTATACAATTTTATTTAATGTTATGTAGTTTTTCATAAACCTATTTTTTGTTATATCAGCTCGTCCTACAGGAAGCGCTTCTTGAGGGCCTATAAATTTGAGTGAGATGAAACAAAAAATATCTTAGAAAAGTTTAGTTTCACTTTAAAAACTTGACTTTTTTTCCTAACACGACTAATATTCTTGCAACTATTTTTTATGATTGCAAATCTTTAACCATGTCTTAAAAAAACATCCAACTAAACAAGTTGATCAAAATTGAAAGAAAGGTTCAACTCAGAAGCAATAGAATAATATCTTCATTATATTATAAGTTTCCACTATCATGCACGAGGTTTCATCTAAGCGATGATGTGACCTTGTTGGTATGATTGAGACTTACTACTATCATTCTATGTATAATATCGATTTGTTTGTAGAGTTCGTTGATGTCAATCTTGCTTGTATGGTTAAGGGTGCTACTTTCAACTCGAATATCCCACCAATTAAGAATAAGTATGGAGAACTGAATAACTTAATATTACTTCTGATGAGTCTACTAATTACAAGTATTAAAACATCATAAAGAATAATCATATGTTTATGATTTTATTTTACTATTTAAGGTATGTATATGATTTGTTGTATTTATACACTTAACGTAATGTGTTAATTTTGTTATTTTTATCTTCTTAATGTAATGTTGTTTTGATCTATTATAATATCTATTTCAGTGCCCAACTATATAAAACATCAAAGCATTTAATACTTTAAACTAAATAAAGCCTCAGTATGACATACAAAACTCGTCATCTTAGCATAATGAGTTTTATTTTTTTATATAAAAAACTCATAATAGAAAAAATATATTATTTCAATGGAACTCATCACCTCGACGTGACGAGTTCCAATGAAAATAATTAAATAATTAAACAAACGAATTGATCGAATAAAATATTTTTTATTAAAACTCATCACTTTGATGAAATAAGTTCTAAGAACACCGTAACAAATATCGTAAATCTCAAAATTAATTCCTATTTACCCTATTGGACTAATTAATTCAAATATTTGCCCTATTGGGCCCAAAAAAAAAACCCTGCGGCACTTTCATGTCTGGCTGCTTTAACCAGTTTCTTTCATGTAGAATTGTGGATGGAAGGCCAACAAGTGGGCAACTTCTACTTCATATAATCAACTTTGAAACGTCACATTCAACAAATACGTCAAATACGGACACCAGACATAGGCACATGATCAATCTTATTATAACCTGTAAACTTGGAATAGTACCATATCAAAACACGTGATCAACAATAGATTCCAAAGAAGAAACAACGAATAGTACCATATGTCCATACCTATAAGCTTGGAAGTCAGACATTATGCCATATAAATCCGATTCTCAACATTTTGTTTCCATAAGCCTCGGTGAAAAATTTGTATGTGACAAAACCATGCACCCCATTCTTTTAAGGGGAATTATCATCTATCATATAACTCAAAACAATCAATGTTTACTTGTTTAATTATCTTATTATCTTACTATATTCTTCATTATCTCTACTTCCGCTTACGTGCTTCGGGACTGATCTTAGTCCAGGTCTAGACTCTTTTTCATAGCCTCATAAACCATATAAGTAATGCTTGCAGCTGGGACAACTTTGAGAAGATTTGGAAAGAGACCTTTGTAGAAACCTCCATAGCCTTCATCCCGAAAGGTTCTCCAAAATACATCGGACATTCCCTTATACGCAGCTTCAGAGGTAGTACGTTGAGCTTGCAGTCTGAAAAGAAAAAGGATTACACCGGAGCAATAACCAGATATATTAAAAAAGTGGATACAAATACCGAAATCCATATATGATGATGCAGATGAACCGAAATTGCCCAAAAACAATGGACTTGTACACGTTACGATCATACCTCGTTCTAATAACCTGCAAAGGGTAAACACAGGTTGCTCCTAAAGCTCCAGAAATTGTCCCACAGCCTAGTTGCACAAGAGGACCAGGTTCTACAGAAAAAAAAGGAGTCCAGAAGAAGCTCCCTTGTTAACGAAAAACTAAGGAACCAAAACAAAAGCAAGCGTGACAAAAGCAGCAGACAGAAATGTACCACTATCTTCGAGAATATATGTCCTTGAGAGATCTTTCAAGGTCTCATAGACAGCAAGGTCAATGCCAGCATACGGGATAATCCCCAGAAGAGATGGCACAAGACCTTTATAAAACGCTCGAGGTCCCTCCTGAACCCAAATATCCTTTGTTAATTTCCCCAGATTTGGAGCCCTTCCACTTTCAGAAGTACAAGTCTGTAACCGAGTTTTTACAAGATCCATTGGGTAGATAGCTGATTGTGCCACTGCACCTGCCACGCCACCAGCAATAAGTCTCCCACTGGCTCCTATATCACCATTCTTATCCCCCATACTGTCTCCTAAAACATTCTTTAACATTTCATATGCATAGAACTTGATGGCACTTTCAGGGGCTACCTTCACAACATTTAATCCATTACCTCGAAAAAACCCTAACACACCATCTTCCTTCAATATCTTCTTTACAGCTGGCAGAATACTAGCACTTGTAGTTTGCACTTGCAAAACCACCTTCAAGCGATCTAGAGGAGCAGTTGCAGTGCGAGAAGCTGCTCCTGCTATTCCTCCTGCAATAAAATATTTGCTTCTCTTGACATGTTTACTAATGCCTTGAGGAATAACAGCATGTTCTCCGATATCTACAAGGCAAACCCTTTCCCAATGATGATAAATGTTCTCAATGGTAGCTTCATGAGGGTAAAGTAGAAGGAAATCTCTCCATTCTTCAAATGTTATAATTCCATTATTGTCCTTATCGACATCTTCTACAAATCGAGCAAGCTCCTCATCATCAATTTGAATCCCTGCAAAATACAAACTGCCAGGGCTAATGAGAAGAAAACAACTGTTTAATTGCAACCATGTATACAATCACCCCTTCCACATGAAACATTTATAAGAATTAAATCTGAGGAATCATGATGCAAAGGAACAATCATATATTTCCATTGGATACAGCAAAACTCACAAAGGAAGCACTTCCACAAAGCACACCATAGGTCGATTATCATAGAAGCAAACCTATGGTTTTCCAAAATCTGAAAATCCCAAATAATGATTCAGAAAAAGAAAAAGAAAGCACAATATTCATCAAGAACATGCACAAGTCCAAGTCTGTGACATGTTCTCTCCTTACAAAAGAATACCAATAGATGGCTACATATAGACCACGAAGATGCTGTCTCAAACATCCAACAGAACTAAATGGCACATAATTTAGACAACGAAGACATCATCTCCACTATTAAGCCAAATAATCTGACACACCGACCAGACATGTCTCAAATATCAAGCGAGACAAACTTTCCTTAGATTGTGTAAAACGTGCTTTAAAGCTCATACAACACCTAGGTGTCTGATTATCAATTTAAGAACTGAAATAAGATAGGTTAAATATAACCATTCAACAGAAAACTAATATGCATGTGAAGCTTTATTCTACCTCATAACCTTCCCTTGAGAAAATTTGAAAGAAACACATTGCACAATGACAATGCACATAAGATAGCCACATGTCTGATATTACATTTTAAAATACAGCTCTTGTTACTCTATGATGATCTCCAAGGTCAAGGTTACCTTTCTTTACTTCCATTGGCCACTCAAATGTGCAATGGAAAAGTTGTTAAAACACAATGACATCTGACAGCATGCATGTGACATTCAATTAAACTTTCATTATAGGTAAGTTTTGAGAGTACATGAGAGAACGTACTAAAGGAACCACATCACGCCAGGTAAATGTACAATCCAAACCATTTACTTAAGTATTAAACAAACTATGTCATTCCGGGTAAATGTATGATCCGATCCAGTTAGCACTGCCGGATCCAGAAATATTTTTGAGGGTGGGCACGCATATGTCAATATTACAAAATATTTGAATAGGGTAGGCAATAATAAATTTCATGGTGGGCAACATCAGTAAAATAGGTAACTACCAAAGAAAATTTGGATTTCAGGGTGGGCATACATGTGGATCCGCTAGTGCCGGTTAGCATTAACTATTTCTCATATTTTAAGTTAAATAAGATAAAAAGCATCTCATTGGCCCAAGGACCGTCTCATTCAAACATGTATTTGAAAACCTCCACCCCAAAACAAGGATTTAAGCACCAGAACACCACAAAATCAAAGCAATCTGACACCAAAATGCTTTACAGTCATCCATCGTTGTTCATAGCTGTTTTCTATAATAGTTTTAATCACAGCAACTAGCCTCCAAAAAAAAGTTAGACAATTAGTAAATTATCTAAAGACTTCTATACAAAGGTAACAAATTCTCTGGAAAACCCATACAGAATTACATAATGCACAAAACCAATGGTTGCAAATGCTACTAGTTAAAGGGAAATTAAAAAGATCACAGCTTCACCAATTATAAGCAAATAACCATGCAAACTCTATGATGTCTAAATCAACCGCAATCACCAAACCAGGCAAACATGTGAAGGCAAGAGAAAAAAAGCTAAAGAAAACAAAATCCCTCCATCATTATAAACTAAAAGAAAAAAAGAGGATAAAATAGCATACCAGCCTTAACAAGGGCATCCCAAAGCTCCTCAGGCAAAATGCAGCCATTATGTTCCACATCAATAGCTTGAAAAATCCTATAAAGTTCAAGCTCCTTATCATCCATATACCTCTTAAACTCTTGATAATCCACACGCCCATCTCTGTTTGCATCACAAACTCTCAACAGATCGTTAGCATACTTATACTCAGCCGGAATCTGCAAAGCTGACAGACCTTTTTCAATCTGAGCATAATCCAAGAATCCCACATTGGCTGCATCAAAAAAATTGAACAAACTTCGAATTCTTAAATCCCTTTCTTCCTTAGTCTCCTGTAATGCTAAAAGAACATGATCCATTGAGACGGGTCCTGGTTTTTTAACCGGGTTGCAACATCCGGGTTTAGGGTTTGCCTCCATTTTAGGCAAGTCTACATGCTCCACACCCTGCCTCGCAGCCCCGGACATAACAATGTCAAAACGACAACGCTTCTAATTACCTTAGATAAATCACCTAATTTCTAAGTAACATGTTATCCCTTGGGACTGTTCTTCTTCTCTGCAATCATGGAGGCTCGGAAATAAAGAGATCTGTTTATACAATTGGGAACAAAGAACATAAAAAAAGAGACCCTTTTGTTTGAGGCAGAGAAATTATGATAAACCCCCAAAGAATCAATTAAGGAAAGGATCCAAGAATTTGACTAGAATTACTTAGAGAACAAGACAAAGATGCAAACTTCGCTTTGGTTACGGTCAAAGTAAGGAAAAATAGAGTCAAAATTTCAAAGGAACAGGCTTATAACACATCAATTGAGATAAATTCCAAGTCTTTTCTAATAGGTCTTAGCCTAAGATAAAAGAATCAATCAAAGAAGCAATATTACCGCAGACTAGAAGAAAAGAAAAGAAAAAAGAAAGCTATTATTGAAGGTAGAAGAAAGAGTAGTAGTTCAAACGTCCAGATAATGAGATGGCACGTATTGGCTCCCAAAGCTCTTAGATCTTCCAAAATCACTTTCTTTGAGAGCCCCAAGTCAGAATCTGGTACAGTAGGAGATTAAAATTTCTGGGTGTTTGGGATATTTTTTTTTCGTTGATGTTATGACTTTGCTTTGCCTTGCTTTCGCCTTCTGTCTACCACAGGAACATGATTGAAAGAAGCAGATGCTATCAGGGAAAAGGAAGATATTCTTTGAACTTTCAAAGTAAAGAGTAAACTACATGTTTAGTACCCAATTGTTACTTTTGTTTCATTTCTGTCACTCAACTATCTTTTTTTTAATTATGTCTAACATTATGTCTAACATTTACTTTTAGTTCTATTTCGGTCACTCACTATTAAAATATTAAAGGTGATGTTGACGTGTCACCATAAGATAATAACACATTATTATTAAAAAAATAAAAAAAAAGTTCACATCAATAATTCTATTAAGTTTTTAATTGTAGGTGACCAAATTTAAACCAAAACATAAAGTTAGATATAACTTTTAAAAAAATAGTTGAGTGACAAATAAAATAAAAGTCATAATCAAATACTAAATACTAAACTTGTAGTTTACTCTAAAGTAACTTATACATGATCCTTTTTTGTTTGGGTAAATTATATCATTCATCATCGAAATTTACCCTCTCTCATTTTACTTGTTATACTTTTAAATTTTTCAATTTTCTCAGTAAACTTTTCGAACTACTCTTGTTTTGGTCACTATAAATTATTTTATTATTATTATTTTATGAAATGGTATTTTTATATATTATTAAATATAGTAATAATTTAAAATAAATAAAAAAAATAATATTTTTTATTATTAAATTTAAAAAGATTTAAAATAATCATCGTCCCTTCTCGTCATCATCGAACACCCTCGGCCTTCCGAATCGACAACTGTTTGATCCCAAATTGTACTGAGAGACTCGCTTTGACACGTGGAGTCTGAATATGATTGTTGTTTTATAAGAAAATATCCCCAAACTCATGAATCTCGACTAAAATATTTCCGGTTCACTACAGAAAATGTGTTATGTACCAGCGTTTTTAGCGGCGTATGGAGTGTAAACGCCACAAAGTTTAAACATATAGCGGTGTTTACAATCCAAAAGCTACAAAATGATACTTTAGCGGCATTTTTCCAACAAGCGCCGAAATAAATTGGTAATTTAGCGGTGTTTATTGCAAAAACGTCGGAATAGACTTGTTTTTAGTCGCGTTTTTTCAACAAACGCCGCAATATATTAGTAATTTAGCGGTGTTTTTATACAAATGCCGCAACAGGATTGTTTATAGTGGCATTTGTCAAACAAACGTCGTTATACATAAGTAATTTAGCGGCATTTTTATACAAACGCCGCAAACGCTGCTATACAGAAGTAATTTAGCGGTGTTTATCAGACAAACGCCGAAATAGGTTGTTTATAGTGGCGTTTGTACAAAAAATGATGCTATAAAGTAGTAATTTAGCGGCGTTTTTACTACAAACACCGCAATATGGTTGTTTATAGTGGCATTTTTATAAAAATGCCACAAAAGGGATCATCAATAGTGGTGTTTGTTATAAAAACGCCACAAAAACATGTACTATAGTGCCGTTTTTTTAAAAAACACCACCAAAGGATAAATATATGCTCCACCTTTTTCTCATGCCCTATCCCTAAAATCATTTCAACGCTGCTTCCCTAAAAGGGATTTCTCTGGTACAACAACTTCCCTCAGACGATTCTAAGCGACGTCGTCTTCTGTCTGTCCCGGCGACCAAATCGGCCCTCTCATCGGCGAACAGTTATCTCACGATTACACGGTTTGATCCATTCTCTCACTACTGAACTTTTTCATTTATGTTTTGTTGGTATTTTGAAAATGGGGAAAACCCATAAAGCTAACGTAATTAAGAAAAATAATAGCTTTCGAATAGGTTAGCAATTTATACATAGTGTTTTACTGGTTTGTTGCTTGGGAGCAGTGTTTTTCTACTTACGAATAGAAAAATAATAGCTTTTAAATAAGAAAATAATAGCTTTTGAAAACCCGAACAAATGGTTGTGGTACAAATAGCAGGTGTTGCCTTGAGTAAGAGAAATTATCGTCGAAATGTCTACGTGGCGTATTTGCTCTGATGATGGATCAAACTATCGTTGGGAGGCTAACGGTCCATACATGCTGTTGAAACTTGATGATGACCCGAAAGGAACTCCTATTGCTCCATACCCTTCCATGGCCGATCTCCTACATAAAGGTAATAATCGGTGGAAGTTTTTGCCGCTATATTTTTATTTTGTACTCTCAAATTTCATAGATCTTACGCATGTAGGATGTTAGAAACTTATTGAGAACGATGATAGAGGAATGGATAAATACCCGATGTTTATAACCGAATTTGGTAACTCTGTGGCATTGCAAGAATCTTAAATTGCAAAAGCATTATCTATCTTCAATGAAGACGACGTTACCACTACTGTTACTCCAAGTAAACGTTTGTATCTACTATTTAAATTTTTTTAATGTTTGATTCAGTTCCCAAGGCACCTCCAATCAAGTTTGATATTGTAGGTTGAAGGTCGTTATCTGTTTCAAGTGAAGCACTGAAGCGCGCAAGGAGTCTTCTTAGTGAACCAGAGGTAGGGGACTTATTTGGTGAAATGGATGAAGATTTTCTCCATATAGAGTTTACACGTAGGAACAACTTAACGATGCATCGTCAAACAACGAAAACTATTTTTTACGTCCTTTCCTGACGAAGGAGCAATGGAGACTAAATTCTAGTGAACAATATGGTTAAGACTGTTTATGCAAAACTTTAATGTTTCTAAATTTTAAGGTATTTTGTAAAGGAGTATTTTTATGCATAACTTATGTGTTAATTAAAATGCATGGTTGTTGTTAATTAGATAAAACTACATGATAGTAAATTTAGTTTATGTAGAGTAGAAATGAAATATTTAAAATCAATTAATCTTATATAAATAAAGGTAATTAGAGGCATTTTTGGATACAAACGCCGCTATAGATATAACTTTTTGTGGAGTTTGTCTCCAGAAACGCCACTATAGATATGACTTTTTATGGCGTTTGTCTCCAGAAATGCCGCAATAGATTTATCCATAGTGGCGTTTTTTCAACAAACTCCGTTACAGAGTACTTCTTTAGTGGCATTTTTATACAAGCGTCGCTATAAATATGGCTTGTTGCGGCGTTTTTCTCCACAAACGCCGCAATATGTTTCATATATAGTGGCGTTTGTGTAGAAACGCCGCGGAAGAATAAATACTTTTGTGGCGTTTTTATGTAAACGCCGTAATAGTTCTGTAATTTAGTGGCATTTGTAGTAATAAACGCTACAATATTTAAGAGCTTTTGTGGCGTTTGGTTTAAAAATGCCGCAAAGTTTTATAGAAACCCCAAATTTCTTCATCCGACCTAGCCCTAATTCTTCCATTCACGCTCTACGCTGAAAAACCATCTTCAGTACATCGGGCTTGCAATTGAAACTATTGCCGCCGAAGATTGCCGCTAATCGACCCTTCCAAAACCGAAGGCCGACGTGAAACGACCGTTGCCTGCGCCGTGTACAACAAAGGATCGTTCGCTGCTCTTGGTTACATGTTCAGTGGAGGTCTCAGAAACTTTAAAACTCTCGTTTTCCTTTTTTTTTTTGTTTTTTTATCGTCATTTTGTTTGTTTTACAATGAAAAAATCATTATGGTACTGCGGAATTTGGAATCTCATTAGCAGTTTTAAGACATTAGATGCATAATCTGAGCTTGTACATAAATGATCAGTGCTTTTAGGATTACTCTGGTTTCGGTTCACTTCGCTTTGAAGATTCTTGCACATTCTTGGAAGCTCCGGTTTGAAGATGGAAGTTGAGGTTCCGGTGGACTAAACTGCAGGTAACCACTCTACACTACCGTGATTTCCTAGCATTGCCAACGTGGATCTCTCATCTCGAAAAATGGATGGCATAAATGCTTATGCTGTAATTTGCCTAGTTAACTGACTGGAATCTCTAAACATATCCTTTTTAGATTCCATCTAAGCTGAAAAACACTTTAAATTATTGAACTAGGCTTTGTTTTAACGGGTGAAGTAGAAGGAAGTAAGCATATATTTCTCCTTTGGTTGAAAAACCTTATCAGAAAGCTTTCCATCCAAGAATGCCAGTGTATTTGAACATATCGTTTTTAGATTAATATTAGTTATAAAGCTTTGTAAAATTCTCTGGCATATGCGTGTTGAATTGTATTGATTAACGAACTTAAGGATCCTAAAATTTCATGTGTGGAAGAAATCCAAAGCCATTCAAAGGTATATTTCTTTTATTAGAGTTAGTTTTATTTTATTTTAAGTAGAGATGAGCGAGATTATTAACTTGACTCGAAATGATTTGGTGCTAAGAAGAACCATCGTGTTCCATTTCTTATGTAACGAGTCTTTGGTAACAAATGGAGAAAGGTGGTGGTCTTCAAAATCATCCCAAAGTGGAGTGGTGGTCGATCTCTTTGAAACTTTAGCTCCTGAGAGAGTTTCAAGGGACTCCCTTTTCTTTCTTTTGAGCGGCTGTGGGAGAAGTAATAAAACGACTTTAGGGTTTTTCTAAAGCCAAAGCAATGTTTTAGTGTGGCTAGGGGTATAAACGAACCGAGTCGAGTTCGAGTATTGTTGAGCTCGACTCGACTCGAAAACTCTGAAATGGAGTTCGATTCGACTCGAAAACTCGGAAATGGAGCTTGACTCGACTCGAAAACTCACGAGCTTAAAATTTTCAAGCTCGACTCGAACTCGAACTCGAAATCCTGAACTGAAGCTCGTGAGTAGCTCGAAAAGGCTCGAAATGAAAAAAAATCTTAAACTTAACTCAATTGAAGCCTCAAACTCTAACTCGAACATGAACCTTAAATACATGAAATCTTACTGTATTTTTTAAAAAAAAATCAATACATAATATTAATATTATTATTATTATTAATTTATTTTTTTAAATAAAATCTTAATATATTATATTTTCGAGCTGCTCACGAGCTTTTCGAGTCGAATATCGAGTAGCTCGTTTCAGCTCGTTAAGAACTCGAGTCGAGCTCGAGTCGAGTCCATTCGATCCGAGTAT